TCACTCAAATTGGTTTGCTCTTGCTTGGATTCCTTCAAGGCGTTGAGTGAGTTTTCGTACTCCTTATTAGTGAAGTTTCTTTCGTCATCTTTCGATTTAATTCGTGAAATGAACTGCTTAATCTGTTTTTCTAGCTCCCATATCTTCACTTGATTCAGTACGTATGACTTTTTCTCTTTTGAATCGAGGGTATTCCGAAATTCTGAAATCTCGCGTTCTTTTTCCTCTATTGACGACTCTAATTGTTCCACCTGTTCATTCTTTCTTGTATACCATTTGCTGCCACTGTCTATTCTTTGCTGTGCATGATCTAGATCATCAAAGATTTTGGAAACTGCAAGTCTCATTTCCCTCTCTCTTCTTCCAATTTTTTCCTGAATCTCTGGAGAGTCAAAATGGTTGTATGAAGCAAGCTCATCTCTCGTTCTTTTCAAAGTCTTGCAGGCGGCATTCAACTGGAGGATGGACTTATGAGTCAATATGCCAGTATCTGACGACTCTGTTGTACCAGTGATTCCAATCAACTCATTATACGAGTTCTTTAATGGATTGGTGATATAGTCCAGTTGTAGACGTTTTGTTTCGTAATATGTTGGAGCTGATTTGAGCTCCATAGTTGGCTGCAATCCATACGGAGTGTAATGGAAATGAGCTTCCGTTAAAAGAGATCTTTCCACATCAATCGGAGTATAAGTTTGTATGACAGGAAGATCCGGTAATGGCCATGGTGCATAGAAGCTTGATTTGTTGCCAAACACAGAGTCAAAAAAATTTGGTCCTAAATATGTGAGCTTTTGATGGTATATCGGGAAAATATCTGGCGGTATGTTCCCTATGTAATCCCTCAAACACACAACCGACGAGATAAGTTTGTACAAGTAGTCATCATCATTTACCGCGTTCCGGTAAAATAGCTTTATTTGCTCTATAGTCTTGAAAGGCATCAATCTAATTGTAACTGCTGGTTTCTCCTGAGGCGAATGGTTCATTGTCTTTAAAGATTGATAAAATTCTGTTTCAGTACTGACGTTACCATCAACAGTAACCAATACGTCAAATCTGGAAGCTTCAAAAACATCTTGATCTCTTTGAATGTCTCCATTAGCCGGAATAAGGTGTATCTCGGTTAAACTCGTGAAAGAGCCGCCATGTCCGTTGGGAGTGCCCCCATTTCCTCCACTGCCATTCTTAACTGCCTTTTTGGACTCTCGTTGAATGTTGTTCCCAACATATCGCTTGACACTTTTGTTGCCTGGGCAAACCATTATTAAAGCCTCGACTAGATCAAAAAGTTTCACATTGTTGGACATCACAAGACCTACCGATTTTCTTTTTGAATTCTTATTCAGGATAACGACATTTAACAAGTCTTTCAAGACGTTAAATTTCCCACTGGTTTCTGCTAATTTTGCAGGCATGTCTTTTACTGCAAGATTTTTCGGCATGTAATGACTTATCAATAGGTAGGGGTGTGTGCATACTAGCATACAGTTTTCAATGCAAGTTTCCACTGATTTGAGAATAATATCCTTATGGTCGTTGGTTTCGCAAAATTTTAGTATGTCTGGGTAATGTAGGGAGATAATTTGATCAGTCAACTCTTTCTGGTACTCGTACATTGGTGTACCCAAGTGGTAATCCCCACTATCATTTGTTTCACTAAGCTCTAACTCAATTATAGGAGGCTCAGGAGTGCTGTCCAATATCCGTAGCAAGTTCATTGCTGTTCAGAAGGTGACGCTGTTTGTGGATATGAAAAGTTGAAGTTGTTTTGTCTTTTGTCGTATTGCGCACACTTTTAAGAATTTCAAGTATTTACAAAAGATCATCAAGAAGTTCCAAGGTCTATTTACTACGTCACTTCCAGAGCTTAACAGTCCGGTCCCAGCCACTACTCACTATATTAACCTCCTTGTCTGTGCTAGCACCAATATCACAGCTCATTACCTTTTCATTATGCCCTTTCAATGTATTGACTAAGATCCAGTTATCTGACGACCAAATCTTGACGGTTCCATCGTAGGAACAGCTCACCAAGAATGACCCATTTAAGTCCATACCTTCAGTTTTTACCTTATCTCCACCTCCATAGAACCTCACATCACTGATTAATTTTGTATGCGCTGGTATTGAAAAAATCTCATCACCAGAGTGATCCAACTTTCTCATATCCCAGATCTTTACAGAACAGTCACCAGATCCACTAGCAAAATAGTAACCATTGGGAGACCAATCGAGACAGTAAATTCCTTGTGTATGCTTTTGAAGCGGCATGAGAGCTCTTCCAGATCTCAAGTCCCAAACGTAAATTACACCATCCAACCCACCTGAAAGGAACAAGGACCCATCTGGGTGTATAGCTCCACTGTAAACTTCCCTCGAGTGACCCTCTTGCTGATACAATTCAGTTCCTCTATTCATGTCCCACAACTTCCATGTTTGGTCAAATGAAGTTGAGATTGCATAATCTTGAACCGGATGGAACATAGTTTTGGTTATTCTACTTGAATGCGCCTCTTTGATTGAGAGATTAGGTTTAATCGTCTCATCAGATTCCTCTATATTCCACAAATTAATAGTTCCCTCGCTTCCTCCTGTGATTAGTACATCACCAGAATCGTTTGCCTTCCAATCCACACCTCCAACTTTTTCCGTGTGCTCTCCACCCAGTAGCTTTGTGGTGGGGTTCAACTCAATACTGTTGAGGACGTGCACTGATCCGTCCCAGGTTCCACATGCAATCAAATCTCCACGAGGCGAGTATCTCACACTTGATATAGCTCTTGTGTTTCCGTGAACTATCTGAGACCCGTAAAGCTCAATCCCGGATAGTCTTGAATTCATGTCTCGTCTATTTTGCAAGAATGGTATAAGCTCTGGATTGATTTTTACAAGGTGTCGTTGTCGCTGTAGCCGTTGTGATGCTAGTTTCAACGACCCGCTGAGAATTTGGCGCCTCACATCGTACAAGTTTGCTGGCCCTGGTGTATAAAACACGTCATCGTCATCTTCATTGTCGTCGTCTTCGTCATCGTCATTGTCAACGTCACCCTGTTCAGGATCAGTGCTAGAATCCCCATTCACTAAATTGGATAGTCTTTCCCTTCGATCACTATCATTTTCGCCATTTATAAAAACAGGCTGTCCTAATTGCTTTAGCTGTTGACGTACAAGCTCATCCTCCTCAGGGATAGGGTTGTCATTGATGATTGGTATTTCATTGTATTGCATTGGCCTTTGAGAAATGTGGTTTCTCTTGTGGTCAGGATGAGTTGACACAACGCTACCAAAATAAATTTCACAGCATCTACTCTTTACATAGTCTACTTAGTGATTATTTCTTAATATCCTTTCAGAATATTCTGCAAAATCCTCCTTCTCGTTGATCATGGCATCCAAATTTGGTTGACAAAAAACGGCCAAAGTGTTGCGGGCTATATGTGGCTTTTTGGTTCCTCTAACGTAGTGTGGAACGGCTTTGAACTTTCCCTTGGAGATCTCTTGCAATGCTGAGCCGGATTGAAACGCCAAACAATCGGCCGGAATGTTGACTTTAACAATTTCATTGTCTCTGTTTTTAATGTACAAACCGGCCTGTGGATCGGGAGATGATTCCAATGTGTGAGTCAAGCCCTTAGACTCATCGAGGAATAAGGCGGACGTAAGACCAGTCAAACAAGAATGGTCGAGATGCTCACCGCACCAGTCGTCAAGCGACTCAGATGAATCCTCCTCTGTCATTGGGAAGTAATGCAACAATCTCGCCTTGGTACATGTTGAGTTTTGCACTATCTTTTGTAAGTAGTTTTGCTCGTAATCTTGGTATATTCTCTCGATGTATTTATCACAAGCTCTTGCAACTGAACCAGCTACATCAATTATCAACGAACACAATGCTTTACAATCACGTTCAAAATATTTCAATGCGTCATTGTGTGGCCAAATGTTGGGTGCAGTGTAAGGTTTGTAATTTGGATACTTTTTAGTCAATTTAGGCTCTGGACCTTCCAACTTGGAATCCTTGTGAAAAGCACAATTCATATAAAAAGATCCCTTTTTGAAGTCAGGTAATGATGACGTTGCCAACTTCTCCCGTCCACGCGACCATCCCACCAACCACAATGCTTCCTCACATTCAAGTTTCTCGAGTTCTTCTTGATCCAAGTTGGCCAAAATTGAGGCGCTCGTGAGCACCCGTTGTCTTAGACTTTGAAACTCGTGTGGAAGATTTCGCACGATAATAATCCCCAACGAGGTGGGACCAAAAGCCTTTTCTAATGTCTCATTATCAATGCCATGTTGAAGTTGATCGAGGGATACTGATACTGGAACGTCGTTGATTGCCATGGTGGTGATGGTGTCCATCTTTCGAGAGTTTGCTTGAAAAATTTGGCTTTTCTAAAACAAAAAGTACACAAAAATAGATATACATTAGGATGATTGTAAAGGCTACACGATTTACGTAGTTGTGTTATTGAGAACGTTTGGACTTATGGGATTTGCGGTGGGGTACATCCAGTGTTGAAGTGTGGTGCTGTTATGGCATAGACCCTACCTTTGTCAACTTGACCAACACTTTTTTTCTGTAAAAATCTTTCTATAACAAAAAGTTCAAATCACAATCATTCTCATTCTCATTCTCCTGCTCATTCTCATTGTCGTAAATCTCTTGCAACTGACTCATATGGCCACTCTGACTAATGAAACTAGCTTCGGCATGGATTTCATCCACGTCACTCACTGTCAAATGAGGTAAAGCTCTCAAGTTGGTCCGATAATCACTGCCATAATTTGCAATACAAAACTTTTGACATCGCACCAGCTCTTTTGAACTACTTCCTTTCAAGCTCTTTAAAACCAATAATACTTTGAAGAGTTTGGGAGTCTGTTTGGTTGAAATCCTGTACCCTAAACTTTTCAACTTTTGTATGACTGCTGAGGCGTCATTGTTTGACTCGTGTAACAAACATTGAAGCTGTAAAGAGGTTAGTTGGTAATCGTGGTTATCTAGTAACGACGCCAACATTTCCTTTTTGGCATCGAAATCTTTCTTTGTCTTTCCCCTTTTTGAAGATACGAGAATTGACAAAGTGGCTCGTTGTGTGGACTTGATAGAAACGCGTTCTCTAAAAAACTTTATAATGTCAGCTAAGCCATACTCAAAAGTGTTTGCAACAGTAAATGCTCCGTTCACACAAGATCCAAAGTCATAGTTCTTTGTCACGATGCTATCAAAATTTATGGAATGAAGTTGCTTGGCCGAATAATTGTCACTCTGTTTTGTAGGCTTTGTCGCTGCTGAAATGTTTGATGGTACAGAGTCAATATCCTGCTGACCTCGACTCTTCAAAAACAGTTCAACTGCCTCCGCAAACTGGTCATCTGTCATGGTCAACACCTCCATCTCCCACTCAAACAAAACGTTCTCAATTTCCAGCAAAATTGACGCATAATCATATGAGGAACTGTTTATAAGTAGATACAAACCGATCGTCAGCTTATTAATTCTAATACCGCTTAAAATCAAGTAGCCCACTTGCCTTCTGGTTCGAAGTTGGTATCGTACAAACTGGTTCATCTGATACGCTAAAAAATGTGCAATTATACTTTCATTGCCTCTTCTTGAGCACAACTGGATATAGTAGTAAGCAATATCATTTGGATCTTTCGAATTGGAATTCTCAATCACCAAATCGTAGTTTCTGCCACGTCTTAGTAATACACTAGATGCGAAAGTGAAAGGGTGCTTTTCCAAATAAATCTTTTCGTGGAATGTCAACGCATTAATGGTCTTGCAAACTTTGATTGCAAAATCGTGGTCGCCACCTGTAACAAGAATGTCTGTGTGTTTGTGGTCCCGAAGGATCGAATGGCATAGACATACCAAATCACTTGTCTCCAAAAATTCCACCGCCTCAAGCCTCTCCTCAATACCGGCTATTCCCTGCTCCAATATCATCACTGAAGCGGCAACAACTTTTGTGTTTGCGTCGCCAATTTGCAAATCGTTATAACTTGTGCGTAAATGGGACTTCTTTGCCACAAACTCTTTATAATCTAGACTGAATGACGAAATTAAATTCTTGACGGTAACAACAAATCGTTTCAAGAAATAAGTAAACCCCGCAATGGGGCCCCTAATCTCAAAAGATAATGATGGCGTGGTGACCAAGTTTGCAAAAATTCCCCAAGAAAATAGAGCCAATTCAGCCTGGTAGAACAAGGGTTTTAAGGTATCTCCTATGCAGTCAGCAAGAATCTCAATCGCCACAGAGTTGAGCGTGGTGCTAGGAATACTGGAGAAACAGATCTGAAAAGACGTCACAGCGTCAAAGGAGGAAGATTCTGAATGCCATATTTCGTGATAGGTTGAAAAATCAATCAAACGTGGTGTTGCGCTGTCAGCTTCCAGTAAGTATGGCGAGGTGTGCTTTGATCGTTTCATCTGATTGTCCAACTCATTTTGTGCCAATGCAATGAAAGTGTTTTGCGTTGGGACAAAAAATTGAGGAATAGACTTTACCAGCAGGGAATAGTTCAAATCGGTAATAGCGTAGTCAAACCGGTAGTAAGGGTCCTTGGTGAAATTACTGGGCAACGGCCTGTCCCAGTTGTTACCTTCGGCCAACACTATTGCATTTAGATTGGATACGTTGAAAATTTCTCTTGTTTTTTTTGCAAAATCAATTGCATCACATTCAAATAAGAACGAATCCCCAGTGACCAAATACTCCATGTCTTGGATTCTACCCTCCATCAAGCACAGGGCATAATTTGCAGCTTCATCCATCACAGACAATTCGCTTGTTGAAAAGTATGCTTGATATTTGAATACTCGGGAATACTCATTTAAAACATTGTTCAAGTGGGCTAGATCGAGATCTAATACTTGATCAACAAAGCTCCAAATAGCTTGAATTATGAAATTCAAGCTGAAGCACTTCAAAATGTCAAAATCCATGACCAAAATCTTATTTCCTTGAGATAGTCTTTGAGTGTGAACATAAAGGGACGAAATACACTTCTTAGTGGTTTTTAAGTAATGGCATAAAGATCCTAAACTTTCGTCTCCTAATAACGAACACCACACACTTTCGTAAAAGGAGTTTTCAAAATCATGTATGGGCAAAAATAACCTTACTTGGGATGATGTTTCACTCTTGATGTACAACAATTTTCCAGTAGCATCACTAGGAAACACTTTTGACGTCACATCCAAAGAAGGGGTGGTTGTGATGGAACTTCTTTTCGATCCCATTGATCTAATTTTGTTTCGTCTCTTGCTTGCCGAAGTTTTGCTTGACAAGTCTTGTGATGTCGGGATATCTACAAAAGTCGTCAAGACCAATTTTTGCAATTGGTTCAATGATTGAGAACCTTTCAAAACCAAAACCATGTTTTCTGAAACAAAATTATCGTCAAAGTATTTCATCATCGCCTCCCGTGTGTATTTGGAGCTGAGCGTACTTTTGTTACCAGTGCCGAATCTATGAAATGGGTGGCCCTTGCTGCTTAGCAATCTCAATCCATGATACAAAATCTTTTCGTTATTGATAACATTTCCTTGATGTTCATCATCCACATTATTAATTTCCATAGCCAAATATTTTTCCAAAAATAATGGCTTCTTAAAAAAGGAGCTGAAATTTCTCATCAAGTAGTTCAATCCAAACTCCTCACCCACGAGTGTATCTGCCATTGACGTCTCAAAGTATACGCAAGTGTAGTCACCCATTGTATATGCATTGGTGCTGCCTCCCATCGAGGTCAATTTGGTCCAAAAGTCATTGGGATTGGGGAATTCGTCCGTTCCCATGAAAAGCATGTGTTCGCAAAAGTGTGCTAGCCCTGGTAATTCATCCGGGTCACAATAGGACCCGGATCCAACACATACAGCGGCAGCAGTTGCATTGCATTTGGGATCCGATATGAGCAAGGTTCTTAGTCCATTTTCTAGTTGGATGTACTTGTATGAATTGTGTAGTGCAGAACAGGGTTTCTTGAATACTGAAGCGAGTTCCTTTACGGAGAAGAAGCCCATACGCCTTTATGGTGAGTAAAGAGAGTGAAGCTCTCACGTGGAATCCTTAATTCAATATCTGAATGTCATATCATCTTCCGATGAGTGCTGTCTTCTCATCACCCCAGCTTTTAAATAATATTGTGCTTCATCTTTGAATTTCCCAATTGGGCTCTCGCAATTAGCTTATGATGGTAGCGTTTTTGCCAACTTTGATACCTTATAAAACCACAAGTATATAAAGCTAGAGTTATGTACCAATTTATTCAAGTGATGCCTTTCAATTTCTGTCTAATGAATTCATTTCAATACAAACAGATTGCACAAATCTATAGTTCATTATATTCTGGATTAGCCACTTATTCTTACGTATCCAGAATAACCCGCTGTAGTTCTTGACAAAATCTACTTGGAGCACTTGAGGGGACATCTCCTCAGTTCAATAGAATAAACAGTAGCGTTTAAATAATTACTACAAAGAATGGTTTATCCCCTAAAACAAAGGTGTATAAACTTCAACTTTTTTTCCGGCTAGATTAGTACAAAAAAGAAAAAAAAAAAAAAAAACAAAATATGAAATACTAGCGAACGGGGGTGAAAATATACAAACTGCATCCTAACACATTGTTCCTTTTCAATTAAGAATTGATTGTGTTACACGGCTCTACATTCAATGTGAAACTCTGAAATCTGTGCCTTCTGGATGTTGCGAAAAAAAAAATAAAATAAACAAAAACAAAAACAAAAACAAAAACAAAATGCACGGAAAAACATGCCAGAGTGGACAGAGGATTGCTTGCAAAAAGGTTTTAAACAAAGTCGTGCAAGTGTGGAAAATTAATGACCACATCTAATTGACGTAATGAATTTTATTGCGTAGGTGGGGCAAAGGTAATCAGATTCGCTCTAAACAACAAGACAATAGATTCCACTACAGTTGCATGTAGACCTTCAGGTCGTGTATCATATAGTTGCAACAGTACATCCATCGTGCGGAGCGGGAGGCCGAGGGGTGTAAGATCTTGAGAGTCAATAAAAATTTTTGTGCTTGAACGCAAGTCGTGTACTGATAAACAATTTCTTTCCAACACAAAAAGGAATTTCAGAAATCCAAGTAAATAAAAGAAAAAGAAATTCACAAAACTTGCAATGTCGTTGAACATTTCTTCCCCATCTTCAACGATAAGATATGGCAAGTCAACAGTACACATACAACATCCCCACATCAAAGAACTCATCAGGCAACAACACATCGCCCTTAAACAACCTATCATATCTCACACCACCTTCATCGTCCACATACTCATACCACAGTCCAAGATTGAGATATTACTTGTCGAAATCGTTTGACATTGAGGATGACTTGGAGTTTTGTCCAGAGATTGTGGACCGTAGTGTCCATAACTCCTCTGGGATGAAGAAGTTCAACCCTCACACGTCTGCGTCCTTCTCACCAAGTCAAGAATATGCACAACACAGCGGCGTCCTGCAAGAAAATAGAAGCACTTCTGGCTCCGGTACGCATTCCCCACGTGTGTCGACTCCAAGAATAAAAAAGGCTTTGGAGATTGTCAATCCACAGACCAGAATGAGAGTCGGATCGCCCGCAAATTCGCAGAACAGGTGAAGTCCTGGAGATGAACCTGTAGCTTTGATATAAGATGATGCATGAGGTATAATTCTTTTTTATGTTTGGAGTAGGTTTTTGTTGCAAGGACTCGGGGGAAACCTCTGAATTTGCCTGTTGAGATAAAGAGTTGGTTGAAGACATAATGAAAAACTAATCTTTTATTAGTTATTTCGATATAATTTGAAGAATTAAGTGGGGAAATAGAATCCCTATTTATTTGTTTTTGAATAATCTTTGCACAGTAGGATGAAACACTCTTGTGGCCTTGCTGGCAACAGAACTCTCTTTTGAAGTTCACCAGTGCAGGGATTAATACTATATGCTGGTTGTCATGTCAACGCATGCAACACATTCCCACATTCCTAAGAGAGACTTAAACATACACGTGACTTCTCCACCACACGAACACCACAACAAATTTTGTTAGATTTCTTGAATTACCATACTTTAACAGGATCTGCTGCTACTCCTTTTCATGGACCGGACCAAAACTGACGTTACTGCATCACCAGTAGTTCCCTTACAACATACTGATTTTACACTAATGATTATCTAGAGGTGTTTCTGTTCATTAATATTCCCGTGTGTGTTTAACTTTGCACATGAAAGTCACTTTTTGGAGTCGTGTATTCGAGACAAGTGAGTTGACTATACGACAGGTGTATGTGATGATTCTTTCTCAACTTACCTCAGCGAATCTATAATGAAGCTTCTAATCAACATCACAATATCTTTTACTAAATAAAACTATAACCGAAATGTAAAATCAAACTAAAACTAATGTCTTCCTGCAAGCCACTTAATCTCACCAGCCACAAATGCACCATGATTCTCTGCAAAGTCACAATACTTTCTTGCTTGTTTAGCATTTGATTGGTCAAACAACACATAGACTTTCCGGTATTCATCCTTCTCATCGCCGGTGTAGTAGCTGTTGATGAATTTCTTAAATTGGCTATGATCTGGGACATTGAAAAAGATGGCTGTATCACGAATACGCATCTCATTGTAATCAGAAGTTGCAACCCCGTAGTTGTTTCTCCAACAATTCTCTCTAACAAGTTGCCTCTTACTGTTGTTCAACTTGGCCATAGGCTCGACATGGCCATCTCCTTTGTTAATTTCTTTACAAACATCTTCAACAACCTTTTTCTCACAACACCAAATTGCAACCAGCGCATCAATAACACCAATTTTATTTTTGATCAAGTCCAACTTTTGTGCACCTTCCTTGCAATAAAGTAGGTGCACAAAAGAGAATGCTGATGTGCATTCTCTAAAGTCAACAATGTCAATCCATAATCCACGCACATAATTGTCTAAATCTGGTGACAATTTCCTCTCGAAGTTCATGATGAATGGAATTCTAAATCTCTTCAATTCGTTGATGATCTCTTTGTCAAAGATATTGTCTAACACCACGAATGAACTTGATTTTAAATGTCTAATACCCATGTTCTTATCATAAACACATACCAATGGCCATCCCGTGGACGGAAAGAGAACACTTCTGATCATGAGACCCATTTTGTTTAGCTTGATTATTTCATCAAATTCTTTTTGTGGATCTTCCGAAATTATCATAATGGGTTTGATGTACTCATAATATCCACGGTTCTGTTGAGTTTGAAGCCAGTCTTGTTGGTTTAAGATTCCCATGTATATTGATTCAATCACATTCTCCTTTTTGGCAAACAAAACCATGCTCTTGCCTTGTATAATTGAAGACCATGTGTAATAATAATACGGGTTCAGCTTTTTGTTTAAACCTTTCATTGCACCTTTTGTCTCCTTGGTAGAATTTCTGTTGAAGTCATTTTCATTTGTGAAGGGGACTAGGTTGGAACCCAAATGGTATATATTGTTGTATCTGTCAAAATTCATTGCATAACGTGGGTAGTGACCGTCTCGGTGTAAAGAACTATACTCATTTTGTATCCTTCTGTCACACCTATAGGACTCTAAATTTTGGACAACATTTTGATTTTGGTCCCCAACGACAACACCTCTCGATGAACTTTGGGGACCTGATTGACCACGATCACCACCGGTATCGTCACGTGATGAACAACCAAGTGCTGTATTCAAAGTTGAATTGGAAGATCTTATCTGGTTTACAGTTCTCACACCATTTCCTTGAACTCTTGGATCATCGGGTCCCCTTACAGAAGATTGAGTGTGTCTGTTGTTAAAGTGTGGTATTTTGTGGTTTTGGGTGTTGTTGTATTTTGGTTTGTGTAAACGAAACCCCATTTTATTGTTACAGAACCAAGAAGAGAGATGTAAATGGTAAACATTTTTGAAAAAGAGTACAACTAGAGGTATTTATATATTACACAATTGTGTACTATATATACAGTAGTTGGGCTCTGTTTCTTTTCGTACTTTTTCTTTCCTTCTCTTCAAAACAAAAATGTTGGTACTAGACATAGACCATAGCCTCCAATATTACCGTTTACGCTGTGATACAAACACCGAGTTCACCTTGACAGTAAAGAAACAAGATGTTTCCAGATTGGTTACAATCCCAAATGACCAAATTAGAGTGAACATTGAGCTTTTGATTAACAACAAGCCATTCCCAGTTGAAATCGCACAACAAGTAACTAACAAATTCCAATACATTTTCAAATTTTCCAACTACAAGGTTGATCGCAATTGCAATGGATTCATTGCAAGATGCCAATACATGGCTGAAAGAAATAGGCTTCAGAAAAAGACACCACTTGTTGCAACTAAGATGTCAACTATTGAAATGGAACTTTTCATAAATACCGAGTGTCAACAAATCGAGTATGAAACCATCATCTCAAAAACAAATTTATTATACACAGCCTACTTTATTGATGGAATGTTACAGTACCCATTCATATTCTGTCCTATTGCAAGAGCTAAAATGGGGAGCTTGTTCACTCAACCAACCGTTCCCAGAATAGAAATTGAGTCAGAGAGACAGACAAATTTGTCAGTCGCTCCAGCCAGATTCAAACATCGTCAACCTTTCAAAACAAAAAGATGTGCAACTTTTGCTTCTTTGCAAACCAAGATTACTGCTGATATCGTTGCAAGAGAGAGACAAAGGTATTTCAACTTCTTGAAAAGTTTTGAGGTTAGCAAAGAGGCTCGGGAGGAATACAGTTTGGAGCCGAAGAAGTTGTATGAAAGGTACCAGAGACATTACTCTCTTGCTAGGTATGCTAAAAACCCAACTGGTTATTTGAAAAAATGCAGGAAATGTGGTTTGACCCCCAATTTTTTGGCTTTTGAGTTGCCAGGGGTGGCATGTGTATCAAATTGTGTATTTGATAAATAATTAGAAGTATAATAAAATTGCTTCCTCCTAGGTAGATAAACAAATTGGCACAAATATGAAAAAGGCAAACTAAAAACTCAATTAGCAAAACTATAACCAGTAACACAAAAACAATCTTTTTTTTTTCTCTGCTTTGTATCTTTTTAATTTTTTTTTTATTTTTTTGTTTCATTAATCTCTTGAAATATTCAAATCACAGTAACCACCCTCATTTTGCGTAAAATCCGTCTTTAAAATCAACTCAACTAACTTTCTTGGAAGCTGGTAGTTATTGTTAATATGAAGGGGATTTTCGTTTAACTTAATTTCTCTAGCCAAACTTTGAATGAATGGTGGCAGTGAGGAGGATTTTGTAAGTCTTTGTAATAACGAAGCATGACGTTCTGTGAAATGTGGTACTGACTCTGGGTTGTAGGATTTATCGTTGACTTTGATATAAGTGAGATTAGGGATTAACTCTCTACATTTATTGTAGGAGTTAAGCCCAGCAGCATCCCTGTCCGCAATAAATATTACTGACGATACAAATCTTTGTGCAAGTTTCGATGCAAAATTCTTTGTGTAATTGCTAGGGTTTCCTTTTGGAATTATCAAAAAGTATGGTTTTTTGATTCCAGACTTTTGTAATTCTCTGGCAATGGCTACCGAATCCTTCTCAAACAATATGATTAGTACTCTCTCTGTCATCATAACCGGTATGAAATTCTCATTTTCACCAGTTAAATAAACTGGATTGTGTGACAAAATATTGGAGTAGATCACTGCTTTTGCTTCTTTAGTAATCTTTAAGTCGGAACGCAAATCAAAATTGTAAATGTCACACAACGTGTCCATTGTCCCATAAAGGATGTTTGTTTTTGAACCAAATTGTCTTGGGCGCTCGTATGTAAGACCTCGTGCTCTTTCATTCTCTTGGCAATTGATCAAGAGATGAAAGACACGAGGTATGAAATAGGTCAAGGCCTTTGATTGAGGAGAGCTAGCCCTAAAAAAGTGGTATTTGTTGTTTTTCAATAACAGGTAACTCACAGTGTGACCAAAGACTTCTCTTGTGTAAAGTTGTTTGTAAAGATGAGAGAATACTTCAACTGCTGATGCTCCTTTGTGGCTTGGATCAGGAATTATGACTGGTGGTGCTAGCAGTTTCTTAACTCCTATAGCAGTGTTATATGGTGGTGCTACTCTCATTGGTTTGTAGATTATGAAAGAATCCATTCCGGAGGTGATAAAAATGGCAAAAGTACGTATTTATATATATATTGTTCCAACATTTAAGGCTTACAAATTTGCTTATTGAAACTTTGTCCAAACCTTTTCACCCCCGTTTACAACAACATGTCACAAAGTATCAAAAAGAAAGTCTCTGACAAAATTGAAAAAACATATTCCGGTTTACCAATACCTCAAGGGTTGGATGATCCATGCTGGATATCATATGTCGTTGTGGCACTTAGAAAATTCAGACACATCTTACAATACTTTAACTCAGAGACGATTGAATCGGTAACATTCACCAGGTCCAAGAGAATTTTCAAAATTGAAGAAAAAGAGGACAAAAAGGAGTATCTTAAACTACTTGGAGAGTTGTTGTTGGAGTTTTTCAATGAATTGGGCAACTTGCATGCTGTTGATCATGTCAGATCTTTAGCAGGGAAACAAGTGACAATCCTTGACATTTTTGACTGGATAACTGGTGTTGACTACAAATCATGTGTTCCAGAGATTGAAAGAACAGTGGAAAAATTATGGAGCAGTAAATTTCCAACTAGCAGAGATGATATTGTCTCTTTAATGTATTCAGAGGAGACACAAGAATGTGAGTTGAACGAAATGCACTCGTTCTTCCATGGTGCACCTATGTATATGGTCATGACTTATCATGTTGTGAAGGACGAGAAGCCAAAGAGGTTACACAGGTATATGGACGTTTTGTATCATGAGTATTTGTTGTTTCTTGCAGATAGCAAATATAGATATCCAACATTGAGAGTCATTTTAAAAAGGATTGGATTACATCACAACTACATCCCAGAACTTGGTAGAGTCAAGAATGAGGGGGTAGAAATTGCAAAAGAATACTTGCGCAAGTCGTTGAGAAACAAGGTGATTAAACCAAATGCTGAACGGAAAGCTTCTGAAAAGAAGATGAAAAAGAAGTATATCAAGGGGAAGAAAGAGTACAAAAAGTACTTGAGGAACAAGAAGACAAAGAAGAACAAGAAAAGATTAAATTGAAGTTTATTGGTTTTACTTGATTATTTATGTATAGTTGTCGATACTTTTGTTGATTGATGTTTTTTGCTTTTGTAGACTATATTGTTAGCTGGATATAGTTGGTGAAGATCCATATGAGACAATTTGGATTAATATATTTAACTGATGAGCAACTGACAAAGTCTCCACTGAAATAATCAAACTAGCTTCAAACAATGTGGTACGATTCAGTCTCCATTAAAGTCGCAGCTGGTTGAGTAAGCATGTCAGAAGAGCTCATATCTTCGGTGAATGATGATGACAATGAAGCAACACCAATAGCTTCTGAATCTGCTCCAACAACGGAAATTTGCAATCAATGATGATGTAGATTGTTCATAACTGCCAATATCTATGGCAGAAGATACTGAGCTGATGTTAGCAGAAGATAAAGCACTCGTTTCAGCAAATGACTCGACAAAAGTGGCGTTAGATGTAGTAGCAGAATTGACACCAGTGACTGAGATGCTGTAAGACAAAGATTCTTCCAAATTTATTGACTGTATTGAACCAATTGTAGATGATGCCATGGAGCTTTCTTGTTCACCACCTGATGAAGCCATCAGATTCAACAAATCAGAAGTTGAAGATGAAGCAATTGAAGTGAAGGAGTTGGGATCCATTGAAACAAAACGAGCTCCTGATGATGGGTAGTCGGTAGTAATGATCGGCTGTTCAGTGTATGCACCAGAAATATCAGAATTGTTAACTGTAGAAGCTTCAAAAATGATTGATGAGATTTGTGAGGAGAATTGCGACAAGCTGCCAGCTAAATTTTTTGAGGAACTGTCGACTGACATGATTGATGAGCTAGCATAATCTGTAGTCAAAGCTTGAGCCTCTGAACTTGAATTAGCTTCAGTTTCAACTGAGTAATAACTGGATAGAGTTTCTGTTTCAGCAACCGACTCAATTGTGTTATAAGACGAGGAAAACAATGTAGAAGATTGAGATGACGTTGTGTTGGCCCATCTTGCAGGAACAGAGCTTGATAAAGTGGTCACTGATGTAGAAGTGGCACTCGATTCAGCAGGGGTATAAGCAAGCGTCTCGTACTCAAACATACCGTCATCATCAATCTGAATGTTGAGAACTCTTGTTTGTTCCGAAACAATACCGTTGGAAGTATGAGTGACGGTGGTGAGAACTTGCGTTGGTTTAGTTCCTGGATCTACTGGTGCCAACTTACATACTTGACATTGAGCATGTGAATTCGATTGAGGTACTGGTCCATTGTAAGCAATAGCACCTTTGGAAACGTAGTTCAATTCGACGATGTTAAGATCAACAACGGCAAACTTGGATTTAATGTAACCTTTACCAATATTGAATTTAGCTGATCTCAAAAAGTTTCCAATGGACAAAATACCAGTATTTGAATCATACGACCAGTCGCCATTTCCAATGGCTCTGTTGATTGAAATCCTGTTTGATGCACCAACTCCTCTTTCTCCAAATCCTTCGACGTTGTAAGTTTGAGGATTGATGAATGGTTCGTTTTGATGAATACGTTGTAAGTTGGCAATATAAACTAATGCATATACACCAGTTGTACAACCATTTCAAGCTCGATCAATAAAAGTGTTTTTGGTATTGACTAATGCTTGAGACAAAGATTTAGATTTTGTCGTACACTGTTTTTCCTGTCAATTTATAAAATGCGTCACTAATTCCCTCACCAATACACACTAAAAAGTTCTTTCTTTTCATTTTCGCACCCATAGACATGTCTGAATCGGAAACACATCACATAGTTCCTAGCAACAAAACTTTTCAGGATCTATCTACTGCAACATTGAGGTCTTTGAACATAAAGGAGATCAAACAGGTCCAAACGGTACCATCCATGCTTAACTATTCACACAAAGTGACCATTAAGGGGTTTATGCCAGAAGATACAGACAAAAGTGGCTCACTTGAGAAGATGATTGAAGAAGGAGACACTCATAAGGATGAGCCAAGAAAGATAGAGACAAAGAAGGCTAAAGAGGAAGAAGGGGAGTCACAGAAAGTAGGAACTGGTGATGATGATACAGACAGTGACTTGAACAGGAATATTGGAGCGAGACTAGTAAGAAAGAAGAAAAGAATTCCCGTTATTGAGGATTAGCTGGATTGGGAGGACCTGCAAAGAGAGGAGGAGAATTACAAGAAGAAATCCTGCAAGAAATTCAAAGAATTGGAAGGAAATTAGCAGCGGATAGTGAGAATCAGTGCGATAGTTGAGTTGAGATTCAATTGTTTTATTTGTTTTAGTGAATCCTGCATTTCATGTATGGCTTCTAAGGTATTTATTGTTCTTCAAAATTGTATACAGTTAGATAAGTAGAACTGGGAAGCTAATGATGATAGAGAATGCGCAATTTGTAACGCCACCACACACTTAAAGAATCTATACTACACCGGGAATAGAAATATCCGGGAGTAGTGGCAGAAAACAATAGACCCACCCCCCTTTCGGATTTTGGATTGATGCAAACCAATATCGTCAAAAAGTAGCAACATTTCTTGCATTAACTCCGTTAATAAAGTTGTGGACTCAAAACCAACGAGAGTGAGGAGTCTAGAACAATACTAGCTAACAGGAAGCTCTGGATTCTCGTAAACTAAATTCATGCCTGCCCAATATGCAAAAAAAAGCCAATAAAATACATTTATCTAACCACTTAACTCCTAAATTGCTCTAGAAACAAGCAATGACATCTTTTTATGAATGACCTTATCATACGATTGGTATCGAGTTCTAGACTACTCTGGAGATTCTAGAACACTTCCTCCCCACATCTTTACTCAATTTTCACACAAAACCAAAAGCAATTTCTGCCAGTTGTGGCGTCTCATGACGTCTAAATCCTCTTACTCACAACCGAGAGCCAAGTAGCTATCTGTGTCCCACGTTCCGATGACATCATCATGCATATAGGACGGTGCTCTTGACCATTTTGGTGAATTTAATTCTCTTGGGTGCCAAAAAAAATAGCCAAAAGCAATAAAAATTGTACAATTAAAAATCTATTGCGAGCCGCCATAGTTTCCTGGTGTTAATATACAGTATCAACTCAATTTCCAGCCCACGTTCCCTCTCTCGTCTTTAGTCTCCCAAAAATATATAAATATACCCTCCCTCTCCCATGGAGAATACATGAACTATTTTTTTCGCAACTTTTCTTTTGCTTTTTTTCCCTAGCGAGTAATTTTCATGAACAAAGGTATGTCCAAACAGCTTCACTTAAGAAACCCGATACTAACAAAAACCCACGGACTACTGACATTGACTTGTCTAGAAACTTCTCCCGACCGCCTTTTGCCTTCGGTAAAAGGACCGCAGGGCTGGCCAACTGAGATCCCACCATGGAGGCGGGCGGCGAAGCGGATCGTCGTAATTCATTGGTTGTTGACGGCTGCGTTTTGCATCCCTCCCAAGGGGTGAATTAGATATAAAAGAGTCGGGGAAGTGTGTTTGGGTACTGGGGGATCGCCTTTTCATGCGGGACATGAGGCCCCTGCACGGTAACATATTTTTTTTTTTTTGATTTTGAGCCAGCAGCGACAGTTGATTAGTGGGTTTTGTGGTTTTTTTTTGTGTTACCAGAACCGAAAGCCACCGGGGCAATTTTAAGAGGTTTGGAAATAGAGGGAGGTTTGGAGGGAAACGCGACGAATAAAGCCACCTCTTCGGCAGTGTCGAAAGACACGATCGCAAGCGGAAGGGCTATCTCTTGCTGGGTTTGGAAATAAAGGGCATAGTCACTAGGGTTCGAACGAATATAGGAAGCCACTCTTGTTAATAAAGCCACCTTATCCGCACTGTCAAAAGACACTGATTGCGCGGCGGAAGTCACGAGAAAATATTGTAAACCATAGAATTTTTTATCTCTTTTTTTTTTTTTTTTTTTTGGTTTTGTTGCAACTTTTATCTAGGTTAGACTCTGGGTTGCAAATTGAGTAAAAGTTCCTGGTGATATGATTCCTCGTGTTTTGCTTCCCCGGTATTTGATCCATAGACTCGCGTGACGCTACAAGCCGTCTCCAAATTGGTAATGAACCTCCACTCTCGCCTCACTTACATATCCAGAAAGCTTTGTACTAAATGAGTCTCTGAACACCATGTATTGCTGTTGTTAGAAGATTCAAGGGCTGCAGAGATATGCAGTAAAGTGCAGTCGTGAGATTTAATGCTACAGTCCTATGTACCAGAGTAACGAGATCTCAGATGGTGAGACTATCTTACAGTGTGATCTCAGAAAGAGAAATGTTAATGACTATCCTCCAAAGTGGTAAATGGATCATGAGAGGATAGTTGGGTGAGGCATAAGTTGGGTGATGCCAAGAACCTTAAGAGATGGCGTTGTCAGAAGATAGCGCAATACTTGAGAGATGGCGTTGTCAGAAGACAACGCAATATTTGCCATACAACGAATTACTACGGAGTTCGTTGTGCCACAGTGAATATTCTGGAGAATATAAATATGAGTGAAGAATCGCCAGAATACCTATATAGATTTAGTGACTTAGATACAACATCGGTAATATTAAATCATAATGTCAGATATAAGTGAAGAAACTAATAGTAATACCCATAATCAACAACAATTGCTACACTTAGAAGAAAGATCAAAATCCTACTAAATATAGATGAAAGCAATCGTTTTGATTTCTATATATTAAAACTGTTAAAGTATGGTAATTCAAGAAATCTAACAAAATTTGTTGTGGTGTTCGTGTGGTGGAGAAGTCACGTGTATGTTTAAGTCTCTCTTAGGAATGTGGGAATGTGTTGCATGCGTTGACATGACAACCAGCATATAGTATTAATCCTTGCACTGGTGAACTTCAGAAGAGAGTTCTGTTGCCAGCAAGGATTATATGAAATAAATTGCAAACCATATTTTCGATTGCGAATAGTAATTTTTCCTTGGCAAGGTCGTGTGTAATTTAAAAGAAACTTTATTGAAAAGATTCCTTGAATTACCATACTTCAACAGATAGTTCAAAGATAGATAGTCATCAGTTGGACCTTAGTACATCGCGAATGGCTCTTTACTGTGCCGTTTGTACCCCTTAAAAAGAATACGCCAAAATATATAACTCTTTCTATTTTCTGGCAAAAGTACACGTCTTTCATGTATTGTGCGGGTCCATAAATTTGGAAATTTTTAGTTTATAAAATTAGCATCATTCAATTAACCAAAAGAAAAAAAACACACACTCCTGCTTGTTTGTAAGTCTTTCATTCCATCCCACAGATCCGCTTAGCAATTGAAAGAATCCTCTTGTCTGCAGAGAAGGTTCTCTTTTTTTTTTTCTTTCTTTCTTTTTTTTTTATAATGACCACCCCTGAAGGTAAGTTGAGTAACATCCAACACATGATTTTGTCAATCTACTAACACTGCTTCAAGACACTCCATATCAAAATGACAGACGCCAGTCGAATTCCTCAAGAAACAGGTTCGGTTGGGTTAGGCGGCTAATGCAAGGCCAGAACAGAACTACGGGCCATGCACACGAGCAACATGACCCGCATTCGCAATTTCCTCACCAATTTCCACAAAGAAGCAACCAACCTTTAGGAGCAAATGCAGGAAATCTGCGAGGATCTACAAGAAAAAGCTCATCAACAAATAGAGTAAGGCGCAATTCGGAGCCCTTGTTGAGAAGTGAACCAGAAAGAAGCGCAACGCGTGATGCAGACGAAGGAGAAGAAGATTTCAACACCACACTTCGTTTTGATGAGAATAATCACATACACCGTACTTCTTTTCAAGATAGCTACGATGACCAGGACCGAAATGCTAGCTACCACGACAGCGACCAAAACACAAGCATGAGCGAGGACAATATCAGCACCATTCCGTTAAAGTCCATCATTTCCAGGCAGTCAACTAAAAACCCATCCATTTTGAGCACAGATGTCAACAATGATCGTCTGTCTTTAATTGCATCAACTGCAGAGACTTCAATCGCACCAAGTGTCCAAACACCAGGCACTAATTTTACTGCGATGCCTCATCAACATCACACAACAAACCTTGACACCACGGACGAAAATAGTACTACCACTGGCCACAGCACAGCCCCCACTTCAGTCACAACAAATACCGCACTTTCTGCTGGTGCGAGCCAAGCTCCGTCCGCTGCCATACAAGAAGGTGATAACGAATCGATTGTCACACTAGCCAGTTCTTCAAGAAGAAGGCGGAGAAGAAGTATAGATACTAATTGTAGTACCAATGCAATCCCACCAGCTTCAATAATGGAGAGATTGAGTGTGCAGCCTACAGCAGCTAATAGCTTGTATAGTGAAACAACGACATAGAAACATTGAGAGTATACTCTTTGCAAATATACATGCACAAGATCAAATTTTGTCTCACCCGATCAGCTAAAAACTCCTTACCGAACTGCTCTGACCATCATAATGTGAAAGCTGACTGCTCCTATCGTAATTTCCTGTTTTGATGCTCTGTAATGTTGTTGAGCTGAGCACTTGAGCCTTATCACCCCTCTTGCATTCTGCTATCAATGCGATTACCTAAAAAGGAAAGCGCCGTTTGTGAATCAACAAAGAATACAAAAGCAAAGAAAATGTAAACAAAAGAATATTGCAATCTAAAATTAAAATTAATCAATTTATTAAGCAGAGAAAAAAAAAAAATTAATAATAACCATCACAGTTTTTTCTTTTCCTTTCGAGAGAGCCACAATCAAAACTTACCTTGCAAGCTCATATCTGCATACAAACCTCACTCTTATTAACCTTGTGCGCTAGAGCTCCCGGATCCAATAAAGAGAAATTATGGGAACTTTTGGCTATTCAAACTCCATCGAAGGGGACGTCTACATCCAGCGGCTAGCGAGTTATATTAGAAAAAACGAAGAGGCTTTGGCCAATGGATTGCTATGCTTCAGCAAAAACAAAACAACTGTTAACAAAATTAAACCTATAAGATTGACATTCACTATCCACCATCTATATTATCTCACTGAGCGCATAGACCAATCAACTTTGGGAGTAGACGTGGGCCCTTTGAATGTCAAGTTGGATAACCCAAATCACGAACCGACGTTTGTTTCATTTATGGCCAACAACGCCAGGTCATCGAGGCACTTTGACAGTGATGCCCGCTCGATAACCTCCATGAATTCCATGAAGTCCATCGTCTCGAGTGCATCTGTTTATTGGAAATCGTTTTCGTTGAGTAACGATCCAAAAGTCATCAAGAAAGATATAAAATACTTGTACTCGTCGTTCACCAAGATACCATGTTTAATTCTCACCCCAAAAACCAAAATAAACAGTATCAGCTCGTATGAAGAATATCCATGCGATACATCTGTCCCCATCAAAATGTTCAAGAATTTGCAAGTATTGGAATTGATTGAATACGAACCTAATGAAATATTCGGATGGAATTATTTGAGCGACCAATTGCGAATCTTGATTATCAGGAAAAGCAAGATAACCGATATGGCAGAAGTATTGTTCCATTTGGTTTTTGAAGATGCAAATGGAAGATCCAGTTTTAACACTGCAAAGAGGAGATCGATTCAACTTGAGCCACCGTTTGAATTGCGAACGTCCGTTGAGGAACTGAATGCCGCCTTCAAGCACAAAAGAGATCGCGGGAATACGCACACATCCAGTGGAGCTGGCTCCATTGGTGGTGGTGGTGGTGGTGGTGGTGATGGTAGTCACTCTGATTGCGACGCACACAAGTGGCTGGTATTAAAACAACTAACGATTCTGGAAACCTCTATTTCTCACATTCCTAGGGAGACATTGAAGCCATTGGTGAATTTGGTCAAGTTGAATTTATCAAATAATCTCTTGGAGGAATTGCCTGAAGGACTCGATCAACTTGTTAATATCAAGTACTTGAACCTTGCTGATAACTTCATAACCAGCTTAAAGAATCTTCCATCAAATCTTGCGCATCTACTCACCTTAAACCTTAACAACAATAAACTAACCACTTTAGACGGGTTGGATAATTTAGTTTCATTGGAGAAGATCGACTTGCGGAGGAACAATCTATCCGCAGTGAAAAGTTTAAAATCATTGCTTTATTTGGTGGGGGCCACCAAGTTTGATAATGCATACTTATCCCACAATCCTTTGCCCAAAAACTATAGAGTTGAATTATTCAACCTCTTCAATGGAGTCAAGTACAAAAACAACATAAAAATTGATGATTCAAGGCCCGGTTACTTTGAAAAAGCGCAGTTGTTGGATGAAGAGAATGCAGCTAAAAATTTGGCACAATTTATGGGGGCCCAAAGTTCAACTCACCGACGTCAAAGCTCTACTCAATTACTAGAGTCTATGTTGTCGGCTAAAACTCTTGTCACAACCGAGGTAAATGAAACTGACACAACATCGGTATATATCGAAAAAGCTAAAGATTCGGTAAATTTACCACCCAGCCCTGCGTCTAACGAAAACGAAATAGTCCAAGCAATTCGAAGTCTTCAGTTGGATACTTCTACTAAACGCAGTCCACTACAACCAGTTACTGCTCCGGCAAAAGTAAAGAGGTATGATTTGTCCCACACAATTTTATCAAACTCGATCTCGTTACTATCACAACCAAGTTCTCCTTTGCACGCAAATTCAAATATAATGAACAAGATTGAGTCTCCGAACCTGATCAAGACCACTCACTTGAACTACTCCAGCTCATCTATACCGTCCACCCCTTCCATGAAGAGATCTACTACGTTGGTCGACGTTGAAAATCATAATCCTGCACCTAGTATCGTCACGCCAGTTCAAGTCACTGCTAGAATGAGCACCTGAGTTGGTGGCGTCGAAAAAAAAAAATAATAATAAAAAGACATCCAACTGCGGTGGGCAGTCTCATTTATTTCTTCGTACGGGGTTTCTCAATGTTTATTTTTCTTTTGCTCTTTTTTTTTTTTTTTTTTTTTTTTTTTTTTTTTTTTTTTTTTTTTTTTTTTTTTTATCACATAATATTTTTGGCAACCAAAATATATAGACACCAGGTGTACACTCACTCAATACATTTCCATGCAGATAATCAGACTAGTAAGCTTAGTTTCACTAAGTGCTTTGGTGGTATCGATTGAGGAGATTTCATTCACACTCAAGTCTGAGTTTTCCAATGCGTCAAACTCGCATATGTTCAACCTACACAAAAGATCAAGACATGCTGAGCAGCCCGTTTTTGTTGTGGAAGATTCCCAAGACTATTGCTCCCAAGTGTTTTATCCAAGCCGTATGTGAACAATGCTTGCTTCCTATGAGTCTCGTACTAACTATGCTTTCACTACAGCTCTTTGTGGCAGGGTCGATAATTGTTGGCAAAGTGCATTTGAAAAGGCAAAGAAGGTTGTGGAGAAAATGTCCATCCCAGAAAAGGTTAATCTTACCACAGGTACAGGCTGGGGATCTGGTCCCTGCGTGGGTAACACCGGTTCAGTGCCAAGGTTGGGGATTCCAAACTTGTGCTTGCAAGATGGCCCCAATGGTGTCAGATTCACGGATTTTGTGACCCATTTCCCATCAGGATTAGCAGCAGCTTGCACATTCAACAAAGGATTGACCTACCTACGGGGCAAAGCCATTGGACGTGAGCATAAAAAGAAAGGTGTACATATAGCTTTAGGTCCAGTGATTGGTCCCATTGGATTGAAAGCACAAGGTGGACGAAATTGGGAGAGTTTTGGTGCAGACCCTTATTTGCAAGGAGTATTGGGTGCAGCAACTGTTGAAGGTATGCAAGATGAAGGCGTGATTGCAACTGCACGGCAATTGATAGGCAATGAACAAGAACATTTTCGTCAAGTTGGTGAATGGGATGAGAACGGGTGGGACAAGCTACAGTGCTCCATCAGTTCTAACATTGGTGACCGTGCCATGCATGAAGTATACTTGTGGCCGTTTGCAAATGTCGTAAAAGCTGGTGTTGGGAGTGTCATGTGCGCCTACAACAAGGTCAACAATACGTACGCTTGTGAAAATAGTTACTTGCTCAATTTTTTGTTGAAATCGGAGTTGGCTTTCCAAGGATTCGTGGTTAGTGATTGGGGTGCGCAACACAGTGGAGTTGGCTCAGCCTTGGCAGGATTAGATATGACGATGCCAGGTGAGGTGTTTGATGATTGGTTAACTGGGAAATCCTTTTGGGGCCCACTATTGACAAGGGCGGTATACAATGGAACAATAAGCCAGGAACGATTGAATGATATGGCAATTCGCATATTGATGCCGTTTTTTGCAATAGATCAGGTTAAACTACCAACGGATGAAGACATTCCAAATTTCAGCTCTTGGACCCATCACACATACGGGCAGTTATACCCATATCAACATTCTGGTCCCATATGCCAAAAAAACTGGCATACAGACGCTAGGTCGGATTTCAGTGATAGCACTGCCTTGACAGTTGCTAGAGAATCAATTGTTTTGTTGAAAAACACCCATCGTCACTTACCCATTGACAAAAGTGATGGGGTGAGACGGATATTGATTGCGGGACAAGGTGCTGGTCCAGATCCACAAGGATTCAATTGCAAGGACCAAAGATGTGTTGGTGGAGTGCTTACTAGTGGCTGGGGATCTGCTGCGGTTAACAATCCCCATGTAATCACTCCCTATGAAGCAATTGCTAAAAAGGCAAGAGAGAGAGGCATTGTTGTCGATTACACTTCCAATAACTGGGATTTGGAGAATGCCAATGATTTGGCGGATTATGCCGATATGTCTATCGTATTTGTGAATGCATTTTCTGGCGAAGGATATATACACGTTGACGACAATTATGGGGACCGAAGGAATCTTTCCTTGTGGCACAATGGTGACGAGTTGATCATCAAGATTGCCGAGAGATGCCACAAGACAATTGTTGTCGTGACGGCAACTGGGCCAACAAACATGGAGAAATGGATTGAAAATGAAGATGTTGTAGCTGTATTGTTTGTGCCACCGTTGGGACAAAATGTTGGACAGGCCATAGCTGATGTTTTGTTTGGTGATAGTAATCCCAGCGGGAAGCTTCCCTTCACAATAGCTAAGAAAAAGCAGCATTATGTGTCTGTGATTGATGTTTTAGGTGAAAACTGGGAACCACAGGACAACTTTGATCGAGATATATATCCTGACTACCGTTTCTTTGATAAACATAATATCAAACCACGGTATGAGTTTGGTTTTGGATTATCGTATACGAGCTTCAAGGTTACCAATTTGAAAATTACCGAAATCAGTCCTCCTTCTGAGTTTTTGCCGTACCCACAAGAGTATTTGCCGGTGCAAAAAATGGTGGAAGATGATGTTTGCGATGCAGAAGATGCACTCTTCCCACACGATGAATTTGAACCTGCGCCAGGCTACATTTACCCATACTTGTACAATGAAAACATTAGGTCTGTTGATGATGACGATACCTACGAGTATCCCAAAGGATTTGATCCCGATCAACACTCGTCGCCCCCACTCAATGCTGGTGGATTGGGTGGCAATCCTGCGCTTTGGGAGATTCTTTACGAAGTAAGTGTCGAGGTTAAGAATGTGGGTACAATGAAAGGAGGATACGTTTCACAGTTGTATATTGAGTTTCCTGGTACCATTGTGCCGTCACCACCAAAGATTTTGCGTGGGTTTGAAAAGGTCTTTTTAGAGCCTGGTAAGAATTGCAAGATCTTTTTCAACATAATGCATCGTGATTTGAGTATATGGGACGCAGAGTCGCAGCAATGGATCATACAAACAGGCACTTACAAAATCTACTTGTCTTCAAGTAGTCGGAAGGTGGAATTGTGCGGAGAAATAGATATCGGATGCTGAAGGGCCCGTATGCGGGGAGATGGTTGTTTGGTATCCGAATTAGGGGAGATTGCTATTGTTGAAGAGTAGAGTTGTATCAATATGTGTAGATGTAAATTACATGTTTGCTAGCGAATAAAGCCTTGTATTGTAATGTAGAAAGGCTTACCATTATGTGGGGCAACATTACCAATGTGGGTCTTAAACAGCAAACGGAATCCCACCTATAGGTGCAGTATCTAGTGCAAAATTGCTGTACAGAGATAACATAATAGCATCTACATATTGACGCAATTTTTTTTTTAAACCATGCAGATAAGTAAGTCCTGGGGCTGTGTTCTAGAGATAAGGGTGTAAGAGTAAAAATACACGATGAGATCTCTCCCCCCCCCACCCCCCCCCCTTTTTTTTTTTTTTATTTGAAAATTTGTTCCAACGTGCATACATCCATGCGTTGGATCTGTTTCAGTAGGGGGTGTGTGGGTGTGGCTATGGTGACATGTAAGGGGAAATGGGCTTTTCCTGCATATTTTGTAGACATAAGGTTGAAAAAAATAACACTCTCCTGTCAGTTCAGGTACACACTACCACAGTTGCGGTAAAATGGAATATTGGAGGCTACGTTTCTATTAGAATTTCTCTGCTTCGTCTGTCTTTTTTCTTGAATGAGAGGAGGTACAATTAAGAGGATATTCGCAGATAAGATGTAATACGGAGATAAGCTGAATATAATCGTAGCGGAATCACTGCTCAAAAATTCTTCCTCTCTCTCTCTCTCTCTCTCTTTACGAGCAAATCCCGTGAAGCCTCCCCCTATTTTTTTTTCCTATTGTTTAGGAAAAAAAAAAAATAAGCCAAAGCCATAGACATTATATCTCAACTTATAAAGTCTAGATTCATCTAATCAGGATGTGATCTACTTTGAACTACGGCTTCAAGAAGAATGAGAAAAAAGGTAACGCCACAGTATTTTAGATTTCACTAAACGTCAACTTCACAACAAATTCCGCTGTATTGTGTAAAAACAAAACTTTAAAAGGCAATAGGACAGTTATGTCAAAATTTTATTGACCACAATATTGACAGAGAGTTAGTGTAGAGTTACAATATTGATAAATCTCACGCAGGCAACACCACGTGGCTTAAAACGCAAGTACGCAAAATAAATCTCCGAAGCGGCTTCACTACAAAAAGACTTACAGCCATCCTCTCCACCTTGTGGGATAAAATTAATAGGAGGTGATGATGCTGTGGTAACTAAGTTATTATTGAAGCAACATCATTCACTTTGATTTTACTTTGTAAGTACGAGGCAGAAAAGCAAAACTTTATTTAGCAAATTAAACTTTGACTAGACCCACAAGTATAGTATCTGCTGAAAAGTTCGTAACCACATCACTAGTGCATCAAGACTTGCTTCTTATCTATTGCCAAGGAAAACAAGAAAAAAAAAAATCTAGAAAAACAGAAACAGACAAGAACGGAAAAAAAAAAATAAAAAGACATTTAACAACGGAAGAGTGGAAGTGAGTTTTTCCGGTTTGTGTAATTGCGCTATTTTGTTTTTGAAACAAGAATTTTAACCACCACAGTTTAACTTGTGGCAGCCAATGAGCGTGAAGAAAAGTTAAAGAACAATACACCAATTTCACATATGCAAACAATAGCAGTTTGGTTCGTAACTGGAAAATGTAAAGTTCAAGGCGTTTTTGAATGTAAAATTTTTTTTTTTTCCGTGAGGTTGATGGTTTAACTCGCTGTGCATAACGGTTTCTCATGTGTGGTGGTATATTATGGATCCCTTCCATTTGAAATTAGAGGGTGCTACATCTCAGAAACGCAAGAGTGGAAAATTAACATTTGAGCCAGAGCGAAAAACAAGTCGGGGGAGGGGGGTTTACATTGCCAACACTGTTATTGCTACTCAGTCAATGCTTTAACACCCTTCTGTTGAGCATTGATTAGGATCCATAGTCTTTTGCTTAATAAAATAGGTGCATTTATGTTTGTGTAATGTGTTCATATATGCAGGAGTTTATCTTTCCTATGGTTTCCGAACCTGTTTCCATTACACGCAACTTCTAATTTCAAAGTTCATCAATTTGACTTATCAAATTATGCACAAAATGAGATAGAAGATAGGAATTAAGAAAAACAAAAAGAGAATAATCTTTGAGTTTTGAAGCTTTCGATACCACACTCAACTTGAGCCTCCTGCTAGCGTCAAAACTTTTCTTAGCCATTTAGCTAGTGGGCTTGTCAGGGACCCAGCAACCAACAAGGTTTTGACATTCCGTCAAAAAGAAGGAAAAGGTATTTTTCAACGTCACATGGAAAATTGTCCAAGTCTTATTGTTCTCTACACTCCAAACGTTTGTGTCGTCCCTCTATGTTATAATCCCCTTTTCTTGGAATTTCAACTCAATTCTTCAATGGAATTTCGGACTAAAAAGGATGTCAATGTTGGCCACATGGGGGGGAAGGGAGTCTAAACTTCTTTTTGATTTTGTCTCTCTCTGCTTGAAAGGGAAACTTTTGTGAAGCTTCTTTGTCTTGTACTTTTGTCTCGTAGCAAACTATAGTGTATGTGGGACACATGGCACGATTATTTCACCAAGCACACGTATGGTGATGGGTGGGCAACGGACTAACTAGGCTTAGCTAGATTCTTTACCCCTTGCTTAGATCCCCAACGGCATCTGAAACTACAAAATAAATGAAACAGAGCTAAGCCAACGAGGGTTCCTTTTTTACTTTATTTTGTTTTTCCATTGTGCAGGCAGGTGCACAGTTTTTTTGTGTGTTGTAATTACACCTTGTGGTTATTTGTTTTTGTGTATGTTTATAGAGACATGGCTATGGCTGTGGTGGTGTGTGATGATGTGTGATATGTGGTGAAAGCCAATAGAGTGGCAGTTCACCGAAAGTACACACAAAGATGCCGTTTTCATTTTCCAAGAAAAGCTACACACACCTCTCTTTCTCTCCCATTATTTGCTAAGGTTTTGCTATCAAAACCCAAGACTAATTTTATAGAATTACAATTTCGGAACCTTAAAGGGAGATACACAAAGCTGTGGTTGACAGCAAAGGTCAGAGCAAAGACTTAACTCCCGCAAAGGAACAGTTCTTGACTTTTCACGCACGGAGCCAAACCGGAGACTTGGCGCAAGGAATAATATGCACAGTCTAGAAGCTTATTTGCTCAATACCGTTCTTTCCTTATCAGATGCATACGTTTCTATGCATAACTTGAGGGCTATGTTTTCCTATATCTTGGTTCCACTGTCACTGATAGGTCTAGTGGTGCAGCAAGCTCACCTTACATGCACATTGAGAGCTGATGAACGCATAAGAAGTTCGGCCGAAGCAATTTGCAATTCTGGAAATGAAATTGTGTATGTAAATTTTTGTGCTCTTCCTGTGTCCCTGATTGCAAAAAAAAAAAAAAAAAAAAAAAATGAAAAATAACAAGTAAATTTAAAAATAAAACAATACACAGTAATAACCACATGGGTCTTCTTCGCAAACAATAGAAGTAATCAACTACTAACACCCATTTTAATTCGATTACAAGGATGTCTGTCTTGACACTATCCGGTGTTAAGAAATTAGCTCAAAACTTTCACCCTATCCCTTTCAAAAAACCGTTGAGCGTTTATTGTTTTCGTACTTATGCAGTTCCGATTTTCTCCATCAGGCATTAAGTTGGTGATCCTTGACTTTCTAGCATTATAAGAATGGTGGTACCTGCCCTTGGTAAGCGTTGATAGAGACTCCGCTCTTTAGCAAAAGCAAACTGAAAAGATCATCAAAATGTCAACTGATATGAATCCTGACAGGAACAATAGCACCTCATCATCAGAAACACAGTACTCACAAGAAAAGCACATCAAGTTTGAGGATGGCAATGGAACAAAATATTCTGAAAAACCAGTGCCGACCACCCCAGCAGAAAGTTTACACACCATGGTAGGAAACCAGCCGGTGGAGGCAAAGGCATTAGCTGAAAAATTAGGTGATGCACACTTCAACCAGTTACCAACATCGCAAATCATTACCATTCTACTAACGTTGTCGTTGGCCAACTTTGTCAGTTTTGCTGATCAAACTGGTATCACCGTTGGTCTTTCGCAAATCGGAAAGGACTTGAACGCACAACAACTGATCAACTGGGCTGGTTCTGCATCCTTATTGGCAAACACCGTTTGTCAAGTTTTGTTTGGTAGGTTGTCTGATATCTTTGGCCGAAAGAATGTAATCATGACATGTCTCATGATTTTGTGTATTGGTGACATTGCTTGCTCAGTTGCTCGTAATGGTATTGAATTTTTTGTCTTTAGAGCTTTGGCTGGAATTGGTAATGGTGGTGTTTCAAGTTTGTGCATGGTCATCTTGAGTGATATTGTCTCATTGAAAGATAGGGGTAAGTACCAAGGTATCTTGGGTTCCAGTGTTGGAATAGGTAATGCTGTTGGTCCTTTTATCATGTCTGGATTTATCCAACAGTCAAGCTGGAGAAGCTATTACTACTTCCTTGCACCACTTGCCTTTTGCGTCAACATAGTTTTGTTCTTTTCGTTGAAGAATAACAAAAAGTTTGACGACCTCATTTCAAGAAAGGAAAAGTTCAAGAACATTGATTATTTTGGAATCATTACTGCAACTATCGGGTTGACTTTGATCTTGGTGCCCTTGAACGGTGGTGGGGTTACCTATGCCTGGAATAGTACTCTTGTTATTGTCATGTTCACCATCGGCGGGGTGTTTATGATTTTGTTTTTGGGTGTTGAAGGCAAAGTTGCTAAACTTCCCATGATACCCTTGAGATTGTTCAAGAATGTGTCATTGTGTTTCATTTACTTGGCCACTTTTTGCTTTGGTGCAACCTATTATAGCTTCACTTACTACCTACCATACTACTTCCAAATAGTAAAAGGTAAAGGTGAAATTGAAACATCAGTATTTGTATTGCCTTTGGTATTGTGTCAAGCTGCATTTTCGGTAGTTGCTGGTCAACTAATCACATTCACAGGCCGTTACTTTTATGTTGTTGTTGCTGGATACATTCTTTGGTGTTTGGCTTGCTGTCTTTTGGTCCTTTGGAATGCCAGCTTGCCAGACGGTATAAATGTGTTGATTTTGTTGATCATGGGCACTGGGGTGGGCTTTTCGTTCCAGCCCTCAATGGTTGCAGTACAAGCCAACTGTAAGAAAGCAGAAAGAGCTGTTGCAATCTCCACCAGAAATGTTTTGAGATCATTGGGCGGATGCGTTGGTATTGCTGTTGGATCAACAATCGTTAGCAATTCGGTGCTTAGTTCCTTGAACAGCCTTGACTCTTCAACATCCCTAAGACAGCTGACAATTGAGTATGTGAAAAACCACATTTATAATAAGGTCGACGTGAGCACATTGACATCTGCAGAAGTTAAGGAAGTAAGGGACATTTACACCAAAGCTTTGAGAAACTATTTCTATTTGTTGATTCCACTCATGGCCATCTGTGTGATAACAACTTTTTTTGTAAAGGACAACGGATTGTGTGCTATTGACGAAAGACCACCACCAAAGAAGAAAGAAGATTTGGAATCTTCTGCCAGCTCGATAACATTAAGAAATTAGAAGGTTAGTGATTTATTGCAAAGACTTTTTTTCTTTTTTTTTTTATTTTTTATATAGATATAGAGATTGTGATAGACGCAAGTTTGCTATTTTTTTTTTTTCTTCAATACGCCAATGTCGTGACTTCCTCTTCATGTCGCAAGTTTCATTTCTCTGTCATCAAAAAGGACGCGTTTTGGGAACAACCTCAAAACCAAAACAACCGCTCACAGAAAGAGTACCGAAACAACACGTTACAGCATGTCGGATTTATTGGACAAATATAGGTCATCGAGAAGGGCTGGAGCTGATATTCTGGCGAGGGCGAGTCTGCCATCGAGGAGCTCGCTATACCCGCGCTTGTCATCACTTGATCGAGAAAAGTATAGCTCGGATCGATACAACAATACTCCATCAACAACATCTAGATTGAGATATCCACAGAGCGCTGAAAGAGCACCTTCTGAATCTTCATTTACGTCAAAGTACAAGCTATATTCTGATGCCGTCAAGGAGAGTGAGTCGTCTATTCTGGACAGACTCAAGCCGGACTCTTCTTTCACAGCGAGATCAAAAAGCAATGGTCTTGATGAATATAGGAGTGAGTCAAAACGCTACACGAGAAATTACGAGCTAGATGGACTAAAGAAAAACTTAGAGGCCAAATATGGCTTGGGCTCCACGAGAGATGAAACCGACAGAAACTCAAGGTTATTTGGCTCTCCAGCCAATTCAAGAAGACTGAGAAACGAGCTTGGAGGTAGGTCCTCGAATGTATCACATACCGCCAGAGACAAATATAGAATTACAAAACCAAGTATTGAGAGCCCTCGCTCTGGTGGGTTCTTGTCAAGGATATTTACTTACTTTACCTCCAACGAACATACCGACGACAATGATACCTCACACCCTTCCAGCTTTTTCGAGAAGCCGCGTGTCAAGAAGGTGAGTTTTAGTGACAGCATCAAGCGGGAGGATGATTTTGACGAGGTGGACGACGTTGTTACTCGCGCAAGGGAAAAAGAGCGGACATTGGTATTGGAAAACTATCGAAATTTGGAACAAGAACACAAAAAAGTATTGTTGTTGTTGGAAGAGATTGAATTAGAGAACAAGGAATTGAAAAGCGAGTTGAGCAAAGTCCATGACACCTACACCGCCAAATTGGACGAAATAGAGAATGACTTGTTTGACAAAAATGTCGTAGCTGATCAATTGAGAATAAATAGCGATCGCAAACATACCGAGGAAATCAACCTGCTCAAGTCTGCTCAAGAGCAGGAAATTTCTCGGTTACAGAAATCCCATGAACGAGAGTTGGCCCAATTGAAATCAGTCCACGAAGAAGAAACGCGCTTACAAAAAGATGAGAATTCGAAACTTCAAAAAAAGATTAGGGAATTGGATGAAAAGCTTTTTGATACTGGGTTTGAACTAAAGCAAGTGAAACGAGACCTTGATATTCAAGTCCGGAAAAATCACGAGATGCAGGTTGAAATGTCATTGAGAGACCGATTTCGTGCGGCTAAACTACCAGCGGACGAAGTTAACGAGTACTTTATCAAATCGTCCCGCATTGAGCAAAAGATTGAGGCATTGCGCAGAGTAGCTGAAACTCCGTCTTCGTCAAAACCACAACAATTTACCAAAACTGAAACTAATATCGAGGAGAATTTAAAGACATTGGAGAAAATGACTAAATCGTTTCAATTTACTGAGCTTGACGATTGCGAAAAGTATTACGAACTGGCGCATAGGTTTTTGTCTGACTCATCAAATAAAGCAGAGGAGATTATTCTGCAGTTGGAACAAGATGATCAATCGAGCTCATCTCAGATCTTAACTCAGTATCTAACGTTGAAGAGATTGAATGAGTTGGGCTATAAATTGAGCTCAGTGAAAGAGCTCATAAATGACTGCAAAGTTTTGAAAGAGTTTAAAGACAGCGATGTGGATGTAAATGATATCTATTTACGTGTTAGACTGGAGTTGTTCTAGGTATTGTGTTGTACTATTGTAATATATATAAATATTTGATTGGTAGCGGAAATCGTATTGATATAACTTCTTTTTTTTTTTTTTTTTTTTGGGGGGGGGGGGGGTTTCTAAGAAAAGACGCGTCTATAAACTGCAAAGAGTTCCTACTTAACAGCCGCCCATGATCGACCTAGCCACTACAAGCACTACAACTGCATTACCAATCAAGCTCCAACCATCTAACCTTAGACCGCTTGTGTTTAGGACCTTGACCAAAAAACATGGATTGAATGTGAATACGGAATCGTTGGCGATTTTAACAGATACAATTAGCCAGAAATTTGGTTTTGATTGGAAGGGTCCACAGTCACAACAGTTTCTAGAGGAGATCGCCAAATTTTGGAAATTAGAAGATAGGGGGATATTCATTGACGGCAGTGGCTTGAGATCAGTGTTAAAAGAGATCCAAAAGAAAGATGACGTTGTCCAAATTCAAAAGGCTGGGAGAACCAATACCATTGTTGATGAAGTAGTTGAAGAAGATCTTCAGTTGCAGTGGGAAGACTATTTTCAATTTGTTTCCCCATTGGATCAGCCACGCAGTATATTCGACAAGAGCCGAAAGCATTTCGATGTATACTTGACAAAGGAGAAACTCCCTCTTTTGTCCAAGTTGACTCTCAATACCAAGTCGTTAATTGAAGCACAAAACAACCACTACTATTTAATCCTGGATCGGTTATCGAGAAATGAAAATTTCCAAAAGGCGTCAATGACGAGTATATCCAATTTGAACTCTTTAACCATTGATGGGATTAGCAAAAGCAATGAGATTACGTTGGTCAAAAACATGCTTGGTCGGGATGGACAAAAGTTTCTTTTATTTGGATTGTTGTCAAAGAATTCAACTGATGAGTATATTTTGGAAGACCCTACTGGTTACATTCAATTGAATCTAAACCAAGCTGTGAAAAACCAAGGTTCGTTCTATTGCATTGGAATGTTTGTTTTGGTTGAAGGAATCTATTCAGCATCTGGTGGTAACTTGAATCAAAAGCAGGATTATATCGGGGGTTCCTTTTACGTTAGTAATGTTGCACAGCCGCCTGCAGAAAGGCGAGACAAGAGCTTGGATGTATACGGACATGTTGATTTCTTAGGTATGCATAAGCATATGGTACCAACAGGCAACAAAGCCGTAAAGATCCCGAAAACATTTAGAAAGAAGTTGGTGCAGTTGGAAAAATCGCTACAGAGCCACAGAATCATCATGATGGGTAGCGATCTTTACCTTGATTCAAATAAAACCCTACAAGCAATGCAGAAATTTTTTCACCGGTTAGAAAACTCCATCATTGAAGCATTGGATTCGGAAGAGACGCAAAGTTACATCCCTTTGGCATTGGTTTTCACCGGTTCATTCACGTCACGTCCTTTAACGTCAACAAATTCCACATCCGATGCCAATTTGTCAAACTCCGAGCTATACAAGGGTAACTTTGATCAATTTGCCAAGATCTTGAGTGATTATCCCAACATTGTACAACGATGCAAGATTGTGCTTATTCCAGGAGATAACGACCCATGGCAATCAACATATTCACTTGGTTCGGCTTGTTTAAATTCATTGCCACAAGCTTCGATTCCCAAGGTTTTTGTCAATAGATTGGAAAAGTTGTTGCCTCGTGGAAACTTGATTTTGGCTTGGAATCCTACGCGCTTGAGCTACTTATCGCAGGAATTGGTGATTATTAAGGATAAGTTGATGAGCAAGCTCAAGAGAAACGACGTGATGTTCCCATTAGATCTCGAGCAAAATAACGATGACGTGATTGATGAGCTCACGAATAAAGAGAGGATTGACAGGTTGATCCAAAATAAAGACGAAAGAATTCCAAACAAAACCAAACAAGCACGGAAGTTGGTTAAAACTTTACTAGACCAAGGCACATTGCAACCTTTCAAGAAGGATTTGAAAGTTGTCAATACCCAGTTTGAGCATTGCTTGAGGGTGGAGCCTTTGCCCAATGCCATTGTGTTGAATGACAGCAGTTTTGATAACTTTGAAGTGGTATATCAAGGGTGCAGAGTTGTTAATTTGACCCTGGCTATCCAAGAAGGCAATAGAAAGTTGAATTATTTGGAATATTGGCCCAGTTCTAAAAAGTTTGAGTTTAAAGATGTATACTATTAGTGTGGTAGCGTACAGGGTAAAAAAAAAAGAGACGAAATTTTTGTTTACGCGTTGTAAATTGAATCACAGTGAAGGGGGGGTATAACAAGCTCGAACTAAGTCTTCGCCCCGTCCTTCGCTCTTTGTCCCTCTACAACATGGCATCATCTACAGCATCCGACACCTTACACAAGGAGAAACACATCACTTTCATAATAGACCAAGAATCCAATCGCTCCTATGAGTATTGGCTTAGTGAGCATCTACGTATGAATGGGTTGTATTGGGGTGTGACTGCATTGATCACAATGAAGAGTCTCAATGATACGACACTCCCACAAGAAGACGTAATCAAATACGTATTGAGCTGCTGGGACGACCGATTTGGTGCGTTTGGCTCATTCCCCGAGCACGATGCTCACATACTTTCCACGTTATCGGCACTACAGATTTTGAAAATTTACGATTCTGGTTTGTCAATGTTGACAAAAGATCAGAAACAGCAACTTGTCAAATTCATCAAGGGATTGCAATTGCCTAATGGAAGTTTTCAAGGTGATAGGTTTGGGGAGGTAGATACACGATTCACATACACTGCGGTGTCCGCCCTATCTTTGCTAGATGAGTTAACGGTGGATGTTGTGGACCCTGCTGTTGACTTTATCATGAGATGTTTGAATTTCGATGGTGGGTTTGGTCTAGTTCCCGGCTCTGAATCCCATGCGGCACAAGCGTTTGTTTGCGTTGGTGCACTTGCAATAATGGATCGATTGAATGTTCTTACTCACGATTTACCTGAACGGATTTCTAGTTGGCTAAGTGAACGTCAGGTTTTGCCATCAGGTGGGTTTAATGGTCGTCCAGAGAAGTTACCCGATGTATGTTACAGTTGGTGGGTTTTGTCAACATTGTCTATCCTAGGGAGATCTCATTGGGTGGATTTGTATAAATTGGAAGGGTTCATATTAAGCTGCCAAGACCCCGTTTACGGAGGTATTAGTGATCGCCCCGATAATCAAACTGATATATATCATACGTGTTTTGGAATTACCGGATTGAGCTTGATTGATCACTCCAAATTTGACCTTGATGAAATCGATCCTGTTTATTGCATGCCTAAAAGCGTGACTAAAGGGTTTAGAAAATGGAAACAAGACGAGTAAAACTTTTCGTAGTGAGCAAAAGGCCAATTGTCGTTGCTTAGAGCGAAATAGTTGATATCTTTTGCGATGTCCACGAGTCGGTTAGTGGGGACTTTCGCGTGTGGGGCTCGTATTTTTGACGATCAAAGGCGGGAACATTGTCTTGAACACTCAGTATTGTTGCCAAATCAGTAGCCAACCTGCAACGAATCATTTTTCTCTTTAGAATATGGAGCCAATTTGTGGTCTCTTACATTACAGCTTACCTGGCATAGAATATATCAGTATATTTTGCTTAAATTTGTGTTCTCGTCTCCAATTGCTCTCTTCAACTCCTCCAGGATGCCAAGCTGCATTATGTCTTCGGTCAATGTGAACAGAGTACTGAACGATAGCTTTGGCTCTTGCTGCATAGTTGTCCTTTACCATAACTTACGTCAAAAAAAAAAAAAAAGGTGGTTGGAGTCAATTTTGATTGCAGGCTTCACTTATCCTTGTATTAAACATCTTCTTAGGGGAGCACCTAAGTGTTGGATTTGCTCAAACAGAGAGTGACTTTAATTTGTTTGGTTGTAGAGGCCCTGAATCTGGACATGGCAAATTAAAAATGAGAATTGCACAAAATTACATATCCGTATCAGCAGTACTTGACAACGACCGTTAGTTGCAAAGAAATAGATTCGTGCATGAGACCCTTTGCAGCTAAGGGGCAAAACCTATTTGTTTCCTCCCCCCTCCCTCCTTCCCAGAAGAAAAAAAAAACAAAAAACAAAAAACGAGTAATGTATGATACGTATTAGTCTTGAAACTTTGTTGGTCACGGAGGATTTTTAGACAATATACCGAGGTCTAGTTTCTTGTCATTCCATTTCGATACATCGTCTAAAGTAAAGTATCTACGCAGGGTCCGCACTAACCGAAAACAAAGCGGTTTAGACTTTGCAGAGTGGTATAGGATTCCCAAATGCAAAGGAAGAAACTTCTTCCGAATAGTGCCTAATGATTGAGGCTTGCACTACCCTGCTTAAAAAAAAAAAAAAAAAAAAATAGGTTTGGATGCTTGCTTCAGTGATCGTTAAGTTTCATCCCTTGGTTATTTCGAATTGGCTCTTGCGTAGCCCTTTCGCAATTGTTTTGTTTCACAGTATCACTCACACAGCATCTTTTTGCACGAAGTTTATACTCTATAAAATCGAAATAGGGAATGAAATTTTCTTCTTGACTGGCGCAAACACACTTGTGTAAAAAACAAACAAACAAACATATGTATTGGTCAGTCTTGGTTATGAGCGCTTACACTAAATAATGAGGTGAATAGGTGCATACAAGTGATGCAAGATAACTTGTTACTTCAAGCCTAAATGTTTTGTGTTGAAAATGTAGAGAGAAAAGAAACGAAAAGAGAATTCTCTGGCTAATGAGCATTCTCTCTTGAAACACGAAAAGAAAAAAGAAAAAAAGTTTTAAAATTTCGCATGAAGAAATTGTGAAACATCAAGAGCTTTGTGGTTAGAGTTACCGAATTACATGACATTTTAATTTTTGAGCAATATTGAGCAAATATTATTGGATGCAACTTCAGCCAGCCTTAGAAGGGATCTACACTATCAGCTTTAAAAAAAAAACAAAGGGGGTTCAAACTCTATACTTGACCCTTGAGCTGAGCCCTTGTCACCGGTTTGAAGAGTCACAGCAGTAATCAGCCTCCTTCGTGCAAAGGACAAAAACAGAGGTGGCTTTAACGGGGGTTTTCATTACTGAAGAAATGCATTCAATTTAAAGTTTTGCAAACAAAACTTACACGATTGAAATCCTAGACAATCAGGAAATGGGGTGATTTTTGTGTGTGAGCCGGCAAGTGCGCATGCCGCCACCGCCCCACCCCGCCCCTCTTCCAAGCAACTGCATTTCATGTTACACTAATGATATTAGTCGAACAGCCTAAGTGCACATTGTATAATACGTTGCTATTGTCCAACATACTAAAACAAAAAAACATGTATTGTGTTTTGGCAGCGCACTTCGCTAGATTAATTAACAGGTACAGGATGTATTTACCCAGAATTCTTCAGTCTCAGTAAAGAATGTAGCGTGAGATTCTCCCTTAATTTATTTTGGCAGAATAAGTGGATCTGAAACTAGATCCATGAAGTTATGTCCATTCAGATCATTTAAAGATTTGCGAAATTGCATTCATTTTTTTTTTTTTATCCGTTCCACTTGTTGCTTGTAATTTTCTTTGGTGTATGTTTAATGGGCTAAATATTGAAATGTCGTCGCAATAAAACAACTCGTATATAACCCGTAGTTCTGGCTATTTTGTTTTTGAGACATTCATTAGAACGCTTTGCCGAAGCACATTTACGCCTGGACCGATCTCCCTCCCTCCCTCCTCCTTCCATAAAATCGAAAGAAATCAAAAAAATTGCGCATGGAGAGAGGTAGGTATCGTGAAAACGTGACTATCTATAGCTTGAACTCGAGGGATTCTGTTGTGCCTAATTGTAGGGGAAGGGCACTCAGTTCCGGAAAATAGAGGGAGAAAAGTTAACCCGTTTCTTTGTCTTGTGAGGGGAAAAGTGTAATAGTGGTTTAGCGTGCGCGAATGACCAAACAGCAATAAAATAAAAAAATAAAAAAAATAAAAAAAAATATCAATATCGCACAAACAGAAGAATTAACTATTTATTATTTTATTTTATTTTTTTATTTTACCTTCTCTCTCTCTCTGTCTCTCTGTTTTGGCACTTTTGTTCTTTTCTTATAAACGAGAAGTGCTGTTTTTGTGCATTGTTTACTTTTTTCTCAGTTATTATGTACCTTACTGCCAAAAATCATAACAAACCGCTACAGATTAAAATTTCAATTACTAAGGAGCCTGTCTCTTATACACAATCTAGATGTGTA